CTAGGAATAACACAATCCATTTAACAAAACATTAGAGTTTTAAACAAATAATTAAAAAAACAATCTCTTGGGTGTTACTAACATTGTATCAATAAACCATAGCAAGCAAACCAAGATTCAAAAGACCAATGCTAAAAGTAATTTATGCTCCACTAGTCTCCCATGGAATTCATTACTTCTAGAATACTTCACACCTTTAGCTATCACCTAAGATACATGGCATATAAAAATACGTAGGACAATATGTCACGTGAGATATGTGGGTTTGAGACCCAAAACATTTATTACAAGTTGAAAAAACATTTCATTATTCGTGACGCATTTTAAAAGAAATTTTTTTTCACATTCCATCAAATTTTTTTTGTTAAACATAACATGTTTCAATACATTTCTTGTGATATTCAATTCCCTTTTAACATTAAAGGCTAATTCTGGTATTGAACGATTGCCATTGTTATACATAGGGTCTAGCAGTACCCACAAATATATAGTAATGTGGAAAGAACGTAATTAGTCAACTGTAGCATCATATCTGTTAGGTGATCTATTTCGCGAAGGGGTGGTGTCGCCCCGATAGATTCCTCTATATCCTGTTACGAGGATATCATGGCTCGAGCAAGTTATTCTTATCATTACTTTTCATACTTCACCCATTCCATAAATTAGTGTCAAAAGTACTCATTTTATAAGTAAAGTAACTTAATTTTTAAATACTTTAAACACATCATCATGTTAATCAAAAGTTCATTTTTCCGTGTACCCCAAAGCGAGAAAAGTCTACATGTACTCATCTTGTTCTCCGATGTAGGTTGTTACCATTTTTTAAGCTCATTTTCACAAGTAACACTCCCTTTACATAATTTCTATAGAACACAAGTAAAGGTCAATCAAAATGACCAAAATACTCCTCATAGATTCCATTACTAAATTTTATTGTTTTCAACTATTCTTCATATAAAAATATGAATGTAGACAGAAACCGTGCGTAAATCTGAGTCTATATGTAGAAGTTATGAAGAAATCAAGAAAAACCTCTAACAGAGACTTCTGTGGGTCGTGGAAATTAAGGCATGAATTTCCACGGGCCGTGTTTTCATGTTTGCACACACACACACACACACAAAACTCGATTTTTCTCAAAATAACACTCTACTTTGTATAGTTCTTGAAGAACCTTTTCCCATTCACTTTGTGCCATTTGTATAGGTTTTCACACAGGATTAGAGGTGTTTTATCATCTTAAAACACTTCACTTAGTCCATTATGTGCTCATTGAAACTTCTAAGATCATATAAATCTTTAAATTCCATAAGAAAGGCTAACTTGTCAATTGTTCACTTGAACATTCCAAAGTTAACAAAGTTTGTTCCTAACTTATTGAATACTTGAATGGGTGTTGTAAAGTGCAAGTTATCGCAATAATTCTCATTGTAAACACCTAATATAACCTTGGAATCAGCAATTCCATTCCATGTTCCCAAATTTCCCTTAAGGTCAATAACTCCATATTTCAATCTAAGAATAAAAAAAACTTTATGTTTTAAGTTCAATCCCTTCGAAGAGTATCCATTCATGATTATGAACTTCCTTTACTCATCAATTGTTTATCTCCAAGGAATTCTATGGTTTTCATCTTAATGTCTCCAATTTCATTTCAATTCAAGTTTATTAATGATTCTACCATCATGGATGAGTTTTAGCATTTCCCATTGGATTTTCTTGTTTTCAAACCTCATCTAGGTCATTGAATCAATCATAACTTGACTTTCAAATACAATATCTTTCAATTTGAGATTCTAGGGTTCTTAGTGGTCTTTTTTCCCAAATCATCAAAACCATCAATGGAATGACTGGTTTGAGATTTGAACCATCAAAACCACCCAAAAGGGGTGAGAAATCGAAACCCCAATCATCAAATCCTACTAAACTTGACATTGGGGTTTCACTCTCTTCACAACTTCGAATTTTAAGGGTATTGGAGAAGAGTTTTACATTGCTAGCCTTGATTCATTCCCTCCTTTGCTTGATTTCTGAATTCTCCTCTTGAATCAAGCCCAAAATGTGAAGAAATGAAGCATTCACCATTAGATCTCTCCCTTGCAAAATACGTCTAGAAAGAATGAGGGGAGTATGCTTGCATCTTATTTCCTCAAATTTTCACTTATGGTCTCTATAGTTTGAACATTTTGTTAGTTCTTACCATTACTTGCATTTTCCCAACTCTAACAGGTATTTGGCATATTTTAACCACTAACATCCTTACTTTATTTTCAAATTAAACTTTAGGATGTTACAGCCTAACTGTAGTTCTTCTATCTTTAATGGATCTCTTCATAACAGGAGATTAAATATCTTCCTTATATAGTAAGTTCAACTTCTAGATTCCCAGTACCTTCAGTTTCATCTGAGCTCCACTACTTCTAGAACTCGCCTATCTCAAGAGTACTTATATGTCTTACAATGTCTTCATATGATATTTCATTGATCTCAACTTTCTTTTTCGGTTTTCGTTTCTTTTCTTTGGTGGAACTTGTTGCAATCTCATCCTTTCATAAGATACTCTAATGAAACACTACATCCATGCTTCTACTAACCCTTTTATTGTGGTTATCGTAAAAGCGGTAACCCATGTCATCTAATTCTTTGGCTTTTCCTAGAGCTTGACTCTTTCAAGGTCCTTGATCTTCACATAAGCGATGCAACCTAAAACCTTCAAGTGTCTATGAAAAATCTCCTGACCTTTCCATTCCTCCTATGGAATTCTAAACCTATGGGGGTTGAGGGTTCTCTGTTGATTAAGTAAGATATTGAACTAACCAAATATGTACATAACATATTGGACAACCCTGCATTCAGTCTCACGCTCTTTGACCACTCGTTTAATGTACAATTCATCCTTTCAACCATACCATTCCATCGAGGCATTTAAGAGGCCGTTTTCAACATCCCGATCTCATGTTGAGCACAAAAATCAACAAATTATTTTCTTATATACTCTCCCCCATTGCCTGACTTGAAACACTTACTCTTAAGAACCGTTTCATTCTCTATAGTATCTTTTCATTTCTTGAAGGTGCTACATACGTAAGATTTACTCGTTAATTAATAAACCCAAACTTTCCTTATGCAATCGTCAATGAAAGTAACATAATCTAGTACCTCCTACTGAAGTGGGAATGTATACATATAAATGAACTAACTCTAACTTCCTATCCTTAGGCAATTGACCCATCTTTGCAAAAGCAACATTCTTCAGTTTTCCAAGAATACATGGCTCACAGAAGTCAACTACCATATTATTCAAATATGGAATTTTCCCTTTGGAGACCAACATCTTCAATTCCTTTACACTCATATGCCCAAGTTGTTGGTGCAATAGAATGGATGCCCCTGCTTCTTCTATTGTAACATTTGCTTCATCTTCATAAATCTACACCGTATAGAGTGTACACCATTTCAGTCCTTTAGCAAAAACTAGGTTGCCCTTCGTTACCTTTAACTAATGATCACCAAATTTGACATGTTGACCATCATCATTAACCTATTCAACCGATATCAACATTTTCTTCGGATCGGAATGTACTTGGCATTTTTCAACCTCCTATTTGTTCCCAAAATCACCTCGAGAACAACATCCCTAACACCGGTGATATCTAGGATTTTTTTATCTGCTAGCCAAACCTCCTTCCTGTTATGCATAAAAATCTACATTATACTTTTGAAATGACTCGCATGAAACGATGCACCATGACCCATTTTCTAGGATTCTATGGAGTTTTCGACACAACAAATAAATGCATCATCATCGAAGTTTGTTGCCATGTTCCACTCCTTTTTCCTTTGTCCGCTAAGGTTTTGGGTACTGATTTCTAAATTGGCAACTTTCATTTCAATTCCAACATATAATATCTATCCTGTTCTCCGAGTCACTCTCTTCCTCAATTTTGATGTTCCTATACCACCACATCCTCTATTGTTTTTCTTCCTTTATCTTCTACGATCAACATGACCGCTAAACACTTACCATACATTTCTTCAATGCCAAGGATCAAATTACGAATGACTTTAAATGTCAACTTAGTAGTTTCAGATAAACTACTAATTGTTGTCACTATACCGTACCACTGTACCTTACCAACTTTCAGGTAAAGATGATAATAGTAGTAGGCCCTAAACTTCATCATCGAATTTAATATCAACCGAAACCAGCCTTGATATGATTGAATTTAGTACTAACAAAGTAAGGTTCTGGTGTCCGACATACCAAAAATACGGTACTCGATGAAGAAGGTTTGCGTGTTTGGCATACCACAACTGTAGTGTATGGCATATTGCAGTTGCATTACTCAATGAAGAAGGGTTACATTGCTCGCTTAATGGGATTTTTGATTTACCGACATTTCTTTGGCCCAACCAAGATGTAGTTTTTTAGATCTCATTTGTATGTATGTGATCCTAATAAGGTGTTTGTTTTGACGACCGTTAATAAAACCTCTCTAATTCATTTGTAGACATAACTCGATTTCTATAATCAAGTGAACCCCGCTAAATTCTTGTATTCTTTATTTTCTTCGTACGTTTTATTGTCGTGTTTTTATGTGTTTATCGATACTTATTCATAAGAGGTTCCTCGATTAGACGTTTGCCCTCATCCACCCGAATCTCTTCCATTTCCTTAGGTAACAAACACCATTGTGTCAACTTTATCAACAACCTGATGTATCTAGGATTTATTTTTCTTCTTTTCCCAAAACGAATTAATCGTGGTGATACCTTAATCAATATCTGGTCATCAAATTAGTATCATTAGACGGTTCTTGATCAAATTCGCATTTTTCCTCTTATAATCTCCCCTTTTCATAGTTAGTTACAAATTGTTAAGCTAATTAGTTTTTATAATCTCCTATTTTCCTTTGTATAAAGAATGAAGTAGCGGTAATCGTGTATCCTTATTAAAAGAATGTTTTCTCTCAATCTTTTTTTTTTCACTCTGGAGATGAATGTACTATAACTCTATAAGTATTCTACCCAAGAAAATTGGAGATAAGATAATAGTAGTGCGTTTATGTGCTGTCAGGTCATCTACTTTGTTTAATTAAGTTATATTATTTCATCTATACAGGTTTTGGTATTCTCATATCATTGTCAAAGTATTGAGTGTTGGAAATAGTATCTTAGAGATCTAATATTACCCCATTAATTAGTGATTTGTTGTGTGTGAGTTACGTGAAAATATATGGTTATAGCGGCATCAAATTTACTAAAGATGCAATGACTCGCAACTGTTGTGCTAGATCCATGTCATGATAATTGCAAAGCCATCATAGAATTTTTTTCTAAAAAGACAGATATCTGTTACACTTGCCATAATAAAAATATGGCTTTTCGTAGTGATGCTTTACTTTTCAGCAACCATTAATGCAGAAAATTCATTCATTTGACCCACTAGACACCTTTAAGACATGCACATATTCTTCAGCACTAGTGTTAAATTAGTACCCTGCTGACATGTCTCGTAGACATTTCTCACATAGGTGCCACCAAGTATGTATGACACACCGTTTGCACATTGCTCCACACTTATTTCGGTGGACAGGCCCACGCTAAAACAAGCTCAGTGTACTTCTCTCGCCCATAAATATACTTGGTTTCTCGTTCCTTTCATAACCAAAATCAAAACCCTAAAGTTTCTTATAGTCTGTCATGGAAATCTCTTCTGCTAACTGTTCAATCAGTCAGTGGTGGTGGCGGAGGCATGCAGATGAGCACTACTGTGGCGATGGCTACCACTATGAACCAGTAGCCAGGTTACGAGCAGATGGTGATGATGATGGAGATTACGACTATGCTCCAGCAGCATCAGAGGGAGATGGCGATAATGATGATGGAGATTATGACTACGCCCCAGCAGCATGACTAATTAGTTATTGAACATCTAACATTAACTCTAACGCTGAGAAAATGCATCATCAGTGAGAAGGGGAGGGGTTTGTCGATGTTTGTATAGTACTGATGCAACTGCTAGTTGACTATGATTCTAAATGATTAATTATATATCTGTGTAGAAGTATCCATCTACAGCTCATGATATGTAGCTTTCTTCGGCTATCTTTCATTAATTCTAAGAGCATATTTCATCAACGACTTGTTTTGGTCATAGAGGTATCTCTTGGTGAGTCTAAATTAATGGGTGTATGGGTAATTGTGTAAGGGGTCCTCGCTCTTAATCTAATCCAACTATGCCACTCAACTTGGCATCATGGGGAATATATCTATAGTGCTTACCACATGAAATTAAATATGGACTAGGGCACTTCCGTTACTAACAAAAAAAATAGTCAGCATTACCTCCTATCGAAATTATTTTTGAAAAGAGTATTAATAAAATAGTCAGCATTACCTCCTATCGAAATTATTTTGGAAAAGAGGAGTATTGTCTTGGATCATATATAAACCCAAAATTTTGTTGGATCCCAAATCATCTCAGATTGGAGCTAAAAGTGACTTTTTGACAATGAAGTTGAAGTGCAACCTCAATGAAATGACAAATCATAAAGCAAACAATCTTAATTCTATACACACATGACGTAATAAAAAACATGTGGCAAAGGGGTCATCTTAATTTTGAAAGAGATCGACAAGGCTCAAAACGCTTATATTCTATCTTCAACTTTTCCATAAGAGTGGTTAAAGATATTATATAACTTTTACACGTTTTTAAGATAAATTTAACAAGATACAATGTGTGCGGACAAAACTAGCATGACTAGTTTTAATAAGACCACACGGTGCACGATTTACCGCATACCGCGGTAAGGTGCGGTATGCGGTAAACAACCTACCGAGCCCCGCAAAAAAATGCGGTAAGTGTTGGTCGTGTTATGGATTTGCCGCATGGAAAATGGATAAGTAGCCGTTGCTAACGCTACAATTTCATTTTTTTTGTTTTGTTTTTTTTGTTTTTTTTTTAAAAAACCACTATAAATACAATCTATCTATTTTATATTTTTCACACACAAACCACTTTCATTTTATGCAACCTTTGAAACCTTTGTATTCCAAAAATGAATCCAAACAACCATCAAGTTTTCGTCTTATTGAGCCCTCGGTTTACCGACTACAAATGGATCCGTCTTCAATCTCGCCCAGACCCCAACAATTTTTTATTAACAAATATCACAACAATTTTACACGATACAAACTCTTAGCCCAACCACATTTCAAAAATTTCCCCGCTCCCCGAATACGTTCACTCACCGGAAGTCGAATTTGTCCGAGAAACTCAACCCAATCCCAAACCGGTGGCAGAGCCCGATCCCGAAATTGTCCAAGAAACCCAACCCGTATCATCCAACCCCAAAAACACGGAAAAACAGAAGCACCGATTCGAAAAGAGAAGATGTCGTCTCAACAATGGCAACCGGATGAAGAGTTGGTTTTAGCGTAATTATGAGTAGATATTTTAGAGGATTCCAAAAAAGGAAACGCGCAAAAAGATGACCATTTTTGGCACCGTATAAAGAAGCGTTTTCTTAAGGTCATGGATCATGGAGAGTACCGCACTAAAGATCAGTGTACTAGCAAGTTTCGCGAGATGAACAAATTTTTCACTAAGTTTAATGACATTTACAACAATTTGTTAACAAAACGGAAAAGCAGGGAAGGTGATGAACAAATCTTAGAGACGACCCTTAAAATGTATCTTGTTGATAGTAATAAGAAGGCGTTCAATTTTCTAGATGTTTGGAGATTTTTATCTAACTCCCCGAAATGGATAAAAGAGTATGGTAGCGAAGAAGGTGGTTCGAATAGAACCAAAGTTTCCCAAATGTCTTACACTACTTCATGAGATACACATTTTGGGGTTGATTTGAACGAAGTGGATGAACTCAAGCCGGAAGAAATGGTTCGACCGATGGGTCGAGATGGGGCAAAAAAGGAGGATTGTTGTCGAATACATCGGGAACGGGAAGATGAGATGAAATACATAGAGTTGATACTAGTTTGGAAGTTTATCATTTGAATTTTTCAGTCATTTGAGTTTTGAAAAGGTGAAGGTGGAGGAGAAAAAGTGATCAAGAGAGGAAAAACAACGGGCTCGAGAGGAAAAGCAAAAAAGTCATGATATGGAATTTTTAAAAAAACCTTATGACCACCTCATCGAAGATGAGCTCGATATGATTTTGATGGTTAGAGCGGAAATCATGAAAAAATATTACAAGTAAATTTTTTTGTCGGTTTATGAATGTAATCGTTTTTATGTTATTTTCGTTTTAGGATTGTAATCGTTTTTATGTAATTTTTTTTGTCATTTTTAGGAATGTAATTGTTGGGATATGAAGTCTTGTCCAACCTGGAGCACTTAGAGTTGGAGTGGACCATCAGGAAGGAGAATGGAGCATCAGAGATGTGCTACTTTGGAATCTTGATATGCCACCAAGTAATTTGACATGCCACCAAGTAACTTGATATGCCACAGAGTAACATGATATCCCAAAGTGACAAGAAATGCCACCAGGTGACATAATATGCCATGGAGTGCCATCATATGCCAAAGTGATAGGATATTCCACAAAGTGACAGGATATGACATGGAGTGACATGATATACCAAAGTGATAGGATATGCCACGGGGTGACATGGTATGCCACGGAGTGACAGGATATATCACAGAGTGCCAGGATATGCCAAAGTGACATGATATGCCACATAGTGATAGGATATGCCACAAAGTGACATGATATACATAAAGTGACATGATATGCCACCAAGTGACTGAATATGCCACTTAATGACACCTGATGTGCCAGTGGAATATTGATGGTACAAATACTATGTATTTGAAGGATGAAGGTTCTAGAAGTGACTGTATGATATTTCATGATTGGTTGGAAATTAGGGCATCCCCTAAATGGGCTAATTATAGATGGGCCTGGCCCATCAGAATTAGGGTTTCCTATGCTTTCCTATTAATATACTCATATCCCCATCATTGTAATTTCCTAGATTTCTATGAGAGATCAAAGTGAGATATAATTTTGAGTGCTTGTAATAGTTTCATAAAGTTAATAAAATCCTCTTTCTCGTTCACACGTGGACGTAGGTCACCTTGACCGAACCACGTTAAATACTGTGTTCTTTTGATTTACGTTTGTCAGAAGTTTTTCGTGAGTTCACTGAAGTTTGCTTTTTGATATTTGTCTGAAGTGCTTAACTTGTTTTGTTGTTACCCAACAAATTGGTATCAGAGATATGGCTGATGACGGGAGAGTTAAGATCGACAAGTTCAATGGAAAAGATTTCGGTTTCTAGACGATGCAAATTGAAGACTACCTCTACCAGAAGAATTTACAAGAACCTTTGTCATAATATAAGTTGTTCCTTATTAAGCAGGAGGATTGGGAGTTGTTAAATCGGTAGGCACTTGGTGTGGTGCGTTTATCATTGGCAAAGAACATTGCTTACAACATTGTCAATGGGAAGAAAAATTATAGGTTGATCAAAGTGCTATATAACATGTACGAGAAACCTTTAGCAGCGAATAAGGTTCACTTGATTCGACAATTGGTAAATCCGAAGATGAAGGAAGGTGGCTTAGTGACTGATCATGTCAATGAATGTAATTCAATCCTATGAAGGTTGACATTGGTTGAGATTAAATTTGAAGATGAAGTCTAAGCATTGCTACTATTATCGTCATTATCTGAAAGTTGGTCAGGAATAGTGACAACAGTCAACAGCTCACCTGGAGGTGCCAAACTGACATTCGAATGCATTTGCGACTTAATCTTTTGTGAGTACGTGTGCAAACGAATCGCTCGAGAATGCTCTAACAGTATTCTTAGTACCGAGGAAGGAGGAAGGAAGTCCAATAAAGGGAGTGGGGGTAGAGGAAGATCTAAATCGAGGAAGAGAGGTGTGTTGAAGACATAATCGTTTCAATTATATTAATGAAGTTTTTTTAGTTAATTACATGTTATTCAACTAAAAAAGAAAAATCAAATTTTTTTTTTAATTTATTACATTTTATTCGATTAAAAAAAACAAAAGTGTGGTAAGGTGTGTTATGACACCCACCAGTTTTGTGGGGTGTGGTAAAAAATGACATGACATGTGGTGAGTGTGATATGACACCTACCAGCCTAAGTCTTAAGAAACTTGGTCATGAAGATTAAATATGCTCTTTGGGTAATGCAATCATTTTTCCTACTTTATAAAATTACCTGGCAACGTTCAAGATTCTTTCTTGGCAATTTTATTTCTAAACTAACGTACATTTACATATGATTTTTTTTAACACCAATGAAAAGGTCCTATTATATTCACACTTTCAAACTTTATATTTTCATCAGTTATCATATAATAATCATTTGACTAAGTTTTATACTTTTAACAATATTGACTTAATTATTTAATAATTACAATTTTATTAATATTAATAACTTTAAACTTATTTTTTCATAAAAAATAGAGATAACGATAATATTGTTTTTATAATATAGTAATATAAAAAAAAATTCCAAAAAAATTTCATTAAATTTTTTATCCTTGTTTATAGTCGTAAACCAATAACTTAATACATTTTTTTTCCATTTCCATAAACCTAATATCATTGATTGTAAAAAAAATACAAATAATATTATAGGAAAATTCCGAGCAAATCTTTTCATCATTTTTCATAAAATTTTAGTATTAGATAGTTTGTCATAAAAGATCTTTCTGTAGGTTTGAATGCTTATAGAATTGTAGATGCGACTTATACATAGTTTGTCATTCGGTTGCGGACAAGTCTTTGTGGCACATCCATAATACCGAAATGGGAGGCATCATGTTCTCTCCTTCCAACTATACCATCATATAGTGATTTGTGTATACATGTGCAAATGTAAGGACATTATGATTTTGAAACTCTCTAG